GGAGTCTTACTGACTGTGTGGGGTGGACAGGTGTCTTTATGCAGCTACCGACCTCAAACAGGTGCTTCTAGTTTACAATAATAAATGGAGTGGAGGAGGACTAACAGGTCTTTGAGGGCCAGAACTGTTGCTGATTGGCAGGTGTTCAAATAATTATTTGCAGCAGTAACACAAATAAATTATTTAAAAAATCATACATTGTGATTTCTGGAACTTTTTTTTTTTTTAGATTATGTCTCTCACAGTGGACATGCACCTAAGATGAACATTTCAGAGCCCTCCATGATTTCTAAGTGGGAGAACGTGCAAAGTCGCAGGATGTTCAAATACTTATTTCCTCACTGTATAAAAAAAGTGGAAAATCCATAAATATGTCGCTTCACTGTATACGTCGCATCTATTATGTGTCACTGACAACCCGAAATTGTGGGCCAAACCCAGAAATGTGGGCCAGTGTGCCAAAAAATCAATTGGCTGCCAAATGGCGGCCATGGGAGCATGCACGGGAGGACTTTAACAAGAATTTAACAAGATTAACACTTAAAAACAATTATTTGTTTGCTCGAAATTATAGTAAAGGTGTATCTAACGTTTGCTTAATAAATGCACTTCCACGGTCAAATCAGCTGCATTTGCTGCCTCGGTGCTCCGGGAGCGTGTAGAGCGAGGAAAAAGAATAAGGCGGAACGCTGCTCGTTTCTTTGAAATTTAACAAGAAAAGCACCTAAAACAATTATTTGTTTGCTCAAAATTATAGCAAAGGTGTGTCTCACTTGAACTTTTACTTAATAAATGCACTTTAATGGTCAAATCAGCTGCATTTCGCTGGGGCGGGCGGTGCAGCTGGTTTGACCAAGCAGCGAGCAGAACGAAGGTGAGGTGTCTTTGGCAAGCCGATTGTGTCATTAATAGCTGGTGAAGATTCTCAGTCATCCAGGACATGATAAATTCTAAAAAGTTCAAGACAAAAAACAATAAAATATAATAAATAAAGTCCAGTTGTTTTTGTCTTGAACTTTTTTGAATTTGTCATTATAGGCACGTTTACCTGTTACATGATACAACAGCATGCCATATTGCTACTAATACTCTGCTGCCATCAAGTGGCTGAAAATGGTGGTGTTCAATATTTTCAGTCAGAATGAATGAAAACAGTCATAT